CATGAATGGGGATGGTCCTTCTAATGTTACAGACAATTTTTCCTCATGGCTGATTTAAATTATCCAAATTATATGTTATAATCCTGTCACTTCTTTTCATTTCCTGGCTGCAACCACTGCTTAAACTTAGTCTTAGATTGTCATGCTTTGGGGAAAAAAACCATTTCCTTTCAGATCTTCCAATGACCCATGCATGAAGATGACATTATGTTTTAACGAGTCAGTAACTTTCACTGGACATTGAGTTTAGGCATTGATCAAAACATGTTTCCCCAGTTAAAAAAAAATAAAGTTTCTCAGGAGGGTTATCATTTTTTCCCTTTTATCCTCTTACTTACAGCTGGTTTATTGAAATGGTTCTTAAAATACCTCCCATTACTAATTAGTAATCAAATGCATGGAAATATGTCTCCAATCACACAGTAAAAAGTAATGTATAGCTGCACAAGTAATACTATAAAAATAAATCCTGTTTTTGAAATTTAACTTTTACATTGGTTTAATGGCCGAAACAATGCAATGTTGCCAACAATACAACTGATTTCAAACAAGATTTAGATTACTGTTAAACTCTCTAAAACCCTTAATCTATCTCTTTCATTAATCCCATTACTTAAGTGGAACAAAACTAATTTCTTAGTGAAGAGGATTATTTATGTAACTCAACTTATACTTTGATAGTTTTCAATAGGGTGAGATTTTTTTATTCCCTCTACCAAAAGGGATTGTGTTTTTATTCCTAGTCAGAGTTAAAAGCAGAAAAGAAATATTAAAACTAAGTGCTAGTTAACTGTCAATTAAGGACAGATTAGAAATATGCCAGGAAGATTATGTCTATATTACAGCAGATGTCAACACTTTGGTGTGACAAGCCCAGGACACAGACTGGAGCTTGAAAATAACTTCATAATTTGTGATTACTCCTTAATTATGAATTTACATACAAAATAATAAATATAAATTTGTTGAAGTTAAAATATTTTATTTTTAAATTCATTTTGAAAAAAAAAAACATCCTTTATGATTTGGAAAATTTTTCACTTTTAGCTAAAAGCAAAGATCTTACTTTTCTAACAGACAAAATTTTTATTTCCAATTACCAGAATTTATAAGCATATATATTATCTTTTCATCCTGGTGAAAAATTTGTTTTACATTGATGAGATCACATTTCAACTACTGGAAATACAATATGACAAAAGAGGCCGCGACTCTTCGAACGGACTTCTCAAATATCCCAGCAATGGCACCACATTGTACCATGCCTCAATAAATAAACAAAGACACACTTAACAAATGATAATTTTGTCTGGATAAAAAGGGTCTTTTTTTGCACATTGATTTTCTCCAAAAAATCAAATTACAAACACAACATAATATTTACAGGGAAAATATTGGTTTTGAGGAATAATGCAGTTTAGAGCATATAAAACTTAATTAATAGTGAAACAAGGATTCAGTGAGAATGCTGATTGGTTGAAATGATTTATTTAATCAGCATCCCAGATATTTTACATATTCAAAGCTTCATGAATCATTTACTAACCCCTCCTACTTCCCATATGGTGTGAAACATATAGATTGCCATCTACGAGATAAAAAATTCTGCAAAGCAACTGCATGACTGTATTATTCCTGATGTTGACTAATTATTGATCTCAGTGTCCCCAACTTTATCAAACAGTACAATGTTTGGTTTAGCTTTTACACATCGCTGACTTTTATAAGATCTATTAAGCTCAAATTTCACAGTTTTCTGAAAGTTCTATAGGAACACATCTTGACCAGTTCCTTAAGCTCAGAATGGAACTCTTAGGATCCCTAGGTATATACAAAGAATCGGATATGAAACCCATTATCTATTCTACTACTATGGCACCTTGATCTCTAAATCTCCAAGTGTACCTACTGAATTATCAAATGACCAAACAGATGACCCAAATATAGTGAAAATTTCCATCAAAATCATGAGAAAATCATCTCAAGAAGTTGTGCATTTACCAAATAATTCAGATAAAATTTCTTAAAATGAAAGCAGTTCCTACAGAGTAAGTAAATGTATGTGGTTTACTATATAAGTAAAATGTATGTGGTATACTATATTTTAGTCTTATGACTTATAAGGTATTGAATATTTTGATACAGACATGCTAACTACTAATGAGGGAGGTATAAAACTTCTGGTATGTGGCCCTCTCAGTGAATAAGTGTACTTAGTACCCATAAACTGCAGCTATTAGTGATAAGAAATTTTCAGGCTTCCAGTTGAGCTACTGTTTCACAATTATAGTGTCTGAGGGAAAATTGTTATCTCTGAATAAATTTACAATCAGCCCATAACCCCCCCCCCTTTCCAAAAAAAAAAAAAAACAATTAACCAAGTCTAAAATTTTAGCATTAATGTAAAGATTACAAATAAAAAAAAATACTAATTAAAAAATGAAAATAATGAAGTGTACATATGTATATTGACCTAATTTAAACCCAGGGCTTAGTACGTACCTTGCCTTAGAAATTCCATTATGCTAATTGATAAGTACATGTGCAGGTAATTGGCTAAGTACTACATATATTAAAAGGCCTCAATGTTTCCACATGTTGTAAGATGAATAAATAAGTTCAAACCTCTTCATAATGATCCAGTGACATTTGCCAGTCAAATTTTGTAAATGAAAACACTATCAGCTACCCGTCATTATTTCAATGGTGGCTAATCAGCTGTTAGGTAATAGTTAATCTACTTTCACTTATAATCTCTGTTAGCAAAAGTTCCCATCAAAATCTGGGTGATTTGTGTGTTTGTTGAGGGGCTTTGTGGTGTATTAACATGATGAGTCTTTGAGACCGCCCAGTTTGTTAAGTATTCTCAGAAAATTACTATATCGGTAACTGTGTAAATGTAATTTTGGGAGTTTAGATAACATTTTAAAAAGTTCCATCTATGAGCAAATATAAACAAAAATGATTGACAGCATTCAATGAACAAAAAAAATCCTTAATTTGAAAATAGTTTTTAAAAAAATTAAACTTAAAATTGTCAAAAATCTGTAAACTTCATTCCAATTTATAAAAGAAATTCAAACAAATTATGAGATTAAAATAAATTACCAAAAAAAAAAAAAAATACTTTTAAAAAATATATACCTGATTGTAAGTCTTCTAAATCCTCAAAATTAACTTTTACAAATTTCCAAATTATTGTACATAGTAAATTCCATAATTCAGCTCCTATTAAAAATGTTGACAATATATAATTGCTGTTCCCGTAATTATAGGTTTATGTTTCCACAACTTTAACCTCTTTTTAAAAGTTAAACCAACTGAAAAAAAAAGAAATGCTACCATAAAATTGCTGAAAATTTATACCTTGACTGCCCTTAATTTGGACAGGTGTCTGTTGCCACTACTTTCTCTAGCAGAGGTGTTATGATTGAGATAATTAAAAATTAACAAACAATGTCCTGTAAATGCCATCTACCCAATTAAATAGTCAGTCATATGTACATAATTAAAACTGAAATATTTGGCAGATGAGCAATTTTCTAGAATAAAGGGTAAATGAATTAAATTTTCTGAATTAAAAAAACAAACAAACAAATAAACAAAACAAAGAAAAACAATTCAGTATAAAAAGTTCTTTCACATATGAAATAAGTAAGAAAAAGTAGCAAAATGATAAATTTAACAGTTCTTTGATTTTTTCTTATAATGGCATTACATTTTTTTTCTCCTAGATTAAAAAAAAAATCATTGCAATACTTTGCAACTTGATAATTAATTTTAACTAACCTGACTATAGATCTTGAATATTCCTGAAGTGAATTAAATTCTACGCTTAAAGCCATGATATAAGGATATGCTTTGTGAATTACTTTTTGAAGATTGCCCTAGGAATTATTCCCCTTGAATTTAAGGTGAAAGCTCCCCTTACAAGCTGTTGTAGACCATGCTGTGCCATGTAACAGTTCCTATTGATGATCACTGCAATATAGCTCCCCCATGTTTGTTTGTTTTCTATTCCAAATTTAATCCATTCATTATCAACCTTTGATCTAACTCTGCATTCTATCCATGTGCTTGGTCATACCATAATAACTAACTTTCCAAATTACCTATGCAATTAATGATCTGGCTGTTGAATATCTAAGTAGCCAACCTTTGTGAATAATCTTAATTGAGTAATGATGGTCAAGATTAGAGATCAGGTCATGTTGTTTGTGATCCAAAGGACCACATCTAAACAATGGGGTAGGTTATGCAGTCCTGGTAAATATTTGTAGAATCAGTACAAAGAAATGTTGACACAAGCTTTCTCTTCTATTTGCCTACATTATAACAACTTTGGGTTTTGGCCTGAAGGTGAGTAAGAAGTCCAACAAGCCTCGGTCCACTAATCTAAAAACATACAACAGGGTACCAGTATAAACAGTGTCCACCATCACTGCACTGAAAAGTTCTAAAGCCATCCGCTACACCAAAGGGTTGGGAACCAGAGTAACAAACATTAGCTAAAATCAGGGATTAGAACAGGGATTACAGAGAACTGTTGCAATTTTTACACAGTAACGTTAAGTCTTTGAGGATTCTGTTTGCAGTTCTTCCTTTAAATCTAAGACAAATTTGAGAAACTGAGTGACTTTCTTCCTACCAAACAGAGCATTTGTCTCCCTCTGAAAGGATTGTTTACTTTTTGAATCATGAGAAATTTACTTTGAGATTTTTACACCCTACATCTAGGATCTTAATGACTATTTTCATGTTAGAAATTGGAAAATCAAATTAAAACTGATCTATTAACCTCTACATCTAATAAGAGAAAAAAAGACATGCTTATCCCGACGTACATTGTCTGGGTACATGTATTTTGAAAGTGAGACTAAATCTGAGGAAGAAAATTAAAAAAAAAAATTACCATGTATACACTTAAACTCCTGATAGATGGAGACTAATATTTTCTTATTTTTCAGTAATAAAATGGAGGCATTAAATTAGTTACAAACCTGAGAGTGAGTAGAATTTTGTGGTGACAATTTTTCTTGCATGCAGATAATTTTGTCAGGGAGGAATTAATCTTGTCCTGTTGTGTGTCAAGGCCTGTCAGAAGATGTGGCACATGCGTGGCTACCTGAAAAATGGAGACAGCCTCAATTTAACCTATACACTTCACATTTACGCTTAGAAAATTGAGGACAGGGAAAATCTGACACATTATTAACGATGGAAGCAATAAAAATTAAAAGCAAGGAAAACTGTCATGTCATTTGCACATGAGTTGTTCATAGTCTTAATTTTTTAATGTAAATCGGCTAACATTCACTCCCCAACATTTCCGCAATATAAACCTTTAAAGGCTTCTTCTTTTAGAAGTTTAATGGACTCTTGACATAATATTGTTTCAAACCTTACGTATTCAAAGTTTATCCATTTCAATACTATTCTAAAGGATTTCCAAGTTTCTACATTTTTTTGAAATAGATGTATTTTACATACCAGATTTATTTATCTATTTTTACTCTATTCCATAAAGCAATTCCTTAACTAAGCATGTAATTAGTAATACACAAAATAATAAAAATATGAGCTGTCATTTTTATATACATGAATGAAATAATGTCATTTTTCATGTCCAGTGTATATAAAAATTCTTAGTTCTAACCAGGGCCTAATACAGAGAATAAACTAATAAATCAACAATGTGTTATTTACAGCATTTATTTATCTCAAACACTATAACTTGTTCTAGTTCTGTTCATATTCTAATTTAACTTTTAATTTCAAAGAAGTAAATAAATATATTGAACTCTACAAATATATTGATATATATACCTATTATGTTTCCTTTTAATAAATTTAAAATACACTGAATAATATATCACTGTCACCAAAAAAATACACAATCCATAACAGAAGTCAAAAGCTGAAACTCCTAAACATCCAAGAGCACACTGTACTTACTCTAAAAACAAACAAACAAACAAACAAAACAAACTTAAAATCCCTCTAGTTTAGCACTTCCAAATTATTTGTAATAAACAGCCACAGCTGCCCATAAATATTTGGGCATATAGCCCTTGAAACATATAGTGAGACTTGACCCAACATCATACACTGGTGACATTAGGAACACCTTTTGATCTTACCTAGGCCTGAGTTCACCCTGCCTTAACCATCACCAACATATTTGACTACTCATTTGTTTTACACAGACTTAGTGGTCATTTGAGACAGCCCTAAGGTCAACTATTGCTGGCCACTCAAAACTGGATATAATTGTTCATTTTACACAATTGAGTAATTGTTTCAAAGAAACTGTCAGAATCAATTATATACAGGTAATTCAATTTCCTTTAAAAAACATGTAGTACAAATGAGGTAAATTTTTAAAGAAGGGTTAAAAGAAGTTAGGCCAAAAAAAAAAAACATCCCGATGCTCAGGGACAAATAACAGGATAGTTTGACATTGTGGTAATGGTCTATTTATTGTTCCTGGTCTGTTAGGGCCCCACTGCAGGGGAGATAACAATAATTACAACATTTGTATTGTGGTCGGGAGATGTGAGGGTCAGTGGTGTAACTTAATGGGTAGGTGTCCATGAAAACACCACAGAACAAAGTAACCAAGATTAAAATCAGATAAAAACAGGCAATTTTACATGTTTCCACCAGCGAAAATTACACAGTAACATACAGTTATTGGTGTCAAGGACTCGCCCACTGATGTTCATAACAACCCCCCAAAATTCATCTTTTAAAGACAAACAAATTTATTAATTTTATTTCCAATCTGATGAATTTTTAATCAAATCCAAATTTATAATACTAATTATAATGTAACCTTTCCTTACATTTATATAAATGAATATTTTTTTTTTTTTAAATCTGAGTCACTCAGTGGTGTCCTGAAACACAATTACAGGTTGACTGAATGGACTCCCCATGAAGCGCAGTTTTTGGTCATCCAGCAAACACAAAAGTTAACAGAAACTGTAAATAGCTTTCAGAAATATACCCATTTCTCCTATTCACACACTGTCAAAACACTGATAGGTATCTTAATTAAGACATTTGCGATCCTTTGATATTTTTTTTTCACCTCCATTGGTCTCCTTCTAACTACAAGTTTGTTTATTAGTTGAAAATAAAATTAACTTTCAACAAAGTCTTTACCATTGCACTTTAACAGCTACCATATTAATTTATATGTACTCCAACAGGATTAATTTAAAAAAAAAAATATAGTAAACATCATATTTCTTTTTCTTCTATTTTAACATTGAAATCAACATAATCATTTTCCTTTTTTTTTCTGTTTTTCTTTTTTTAAAGAATTAGAAAAAATTATCTTTTCAAATCCTTCTACAGTCCTTGACTTAGCTGATAACCCCCTATAAGTTCTTGAGAAACTATTGAGGATAAGTGTTTTATAGGTTTAAATCTGTGGTCTGTTTTTATGTCATTACATATACTGATGTAATTCATGGCTAGCCGCTGGTCTCGACAGCCACTAGATAACAGATTCTATTTTGTCAAAATATTTAACTCATTATGAGTGGGAAATTCTTAAAGTCAAACAACAAATTAAATTGGGTAGTCAAATATTTTGTGAAAAGATTTTTGATTAAATGCACTATTCCTATCTGAGTAGATCACTGAAATCAAGTGGCATCGTTTCTATACACCACGTTAGAAAAAGTACTAAGATTAATAAAAAATAATTCCTTGCTTTGTTATTTAATAATCACTGTAAATTGACCATAATATTTTTCATTAATTTCATAAAAAGACCTTTATAAATCATCAAATACACCTATCTGAAGTTGAGCTGAATGGTTTTCTATCTGAAAACCACCAAGGATCAAAAGTTAGAAATATCCATATATGTTTCAACAATGTTTGCCTAATCTAATACCCAATATCTCACCATTATGAAACTATAGAAATCAAAGACAATAATTGAAGTATCTTGCAATGTCAAATTAAGGGCCAGGTGAATGGAGACATTGTACTCTGTTCATCATTTCCCCATTAATGAAAACCCAAACCAATTCTTTTCATAAAATTCCAGACTGAAGTGTTGAAATAATCCTTAAAATATTGCACCTGGGTTGTTGAAGAAGAAAAAATAAGTCTTGTTTCACATCTCGCTGAAGACATGTCAAAATGGAAATGATGAGTAAATCAAATATCCACTGAATACAAGTAAACACGTGGGCCTTCTTCAGAGAAGGAATCTGTATGACTTTCTTCTAATTGTGCAATGATCTAGTTTACTCTATACAGAGAAATACTCCTTGAACCTTGAAGAGGCAATGTTGCCGCTATTGTTCATAACTTCATTTTTTTCTCACTTGAACAAGAAAAGATATCCTAGTGGTTTAATATCCTTTTTGGTTCAGGAGGGCAAACTAATTAAAAATTTAATTAAAAGGACATAAAAACCTCATTATTCAGATTTCTTACTGTAAAATTACATGGGAAGTGTGACCCAACAAAAATCTCAAAATCCACCAAATGACATAACAATAAAATTTTCAGAGCCAAACATTCAGTAATATTTGACACTGAGCAGCAAATATATACTCAATCTCTTAAATCTCTGGGATCTAAAAGACATTATCAATATTTCTGACATAAAATTCATTTCTTTTATGAAGCGAAATAAGATGACTTACCCCTCAAAATTAAAAACCACAAGACGAAATTATTGTAATCCGACAATCCATTTAAATACAATTTCTGACATTTAACAAATAAGCAGCAGAAAACACAACATGGAATACTTATAAAGCGGAGAGATAGAGGAATGAAGGTTTAGGCTAAAGATTATTATCTCAAGCTTATTTCTCATCAGAAATGATCAATTTCATATCTCAACTCATCTCTCCATTGATTTTTAAAGTGAAAAACTTCTGATCCAATGAAAAGACCTCATGACAGGTGCATTGAGTTTGGTTCTATGAACTTCGTCCAGTTAATTATACGGCGTCCACCATTCTAGATACATTTTGTTCAATGTTTAGCAAGCACAAATATTGATGAAGAAGGCATTTTTTAAGAGCCTATTGTGTCACAATTCTGAATATTTACACAATCTTCCCCTGAAATGAACAACAATAAACAAGGACGAAAATCAATATGACAGTGTTGACAAAGTTTAGTTTATTTAGACCCTAAATTCTAAATGACCACTGAAAACTAAACGTTTAGTTAAATGCATGTGGATTTTTCTCAGACCTTAATTCAAATGAAAATATAATGAGTGCTTTTCAAATAAAAGAATTTATGTCTAACAAACAAGCAGGTGGGATTTTAGTCTGATGATGAAGTAAACATATAATTTTGTATGCTATATATCTTTAAGGTAGATAGCCTTTTATATATATTGATCAAATGTATACTTGTATTTCAAATGAAGGTAATGAAAAAGATTCCCTTAAGCACTAAGTGAAATGATACTGTTAACTAAATGAAACAAATCGGCAATTAAATGTTTTAGCATACTCACTAAAGAATTGAAAAGTTATATGGCAATTCTGTTTTCCTATTTGGTACAAAAAAAAAAAATCAGGAAAAAATAATACACCTTTCCAAAAAAAAAAACCCTATAATTTTCCATGTGACTTATGATGAAGGTCAAATATTAATATAAAATGAAGAATTTATTGTTTATCAAATTTGATTGTAAAATTTTTGACAGAAGTGATAAATTCACACATATTCAGTGATAAATCATAGTTATAGCAACTATATAAAATATTTAATAACAAATATTCCATATAAAAAATATCAAAGCGTTGACTCACCATACGATTCCTAATAAAACTGTCTTCATAAAAAATGCAAATAATGTTGGAATAAAACTAGGACTTCCATTTTCATGCCACGTTATCAAAAGGAAAAATCAATTTTGAATCAGAAAAATGATGTCAACGTCTGTCAAACTTTCAGACATTTAAAGAAGAGAGAAGTTTTGCAGTAGGCCTAATTACAGGGTAATTTTCCATTTGATATTGTGGATATCAAACTTCACATCAGCACAGTGGACAAAACTTACTTTATAGAGTTAAATGTATATCCTTCTAAACATTTCAATACATCAATGATCCACAAAAACTGTAAACACACACAAATCAAAATAAGAAACTGCGATAAGAGTTTGATAAAATCAAATCAGTCGGCATTTTGTGTTGACATGTTTTCAGTTAGTTTTTTTTAACCTTACCTTCTGACATCAAAGAACAAATGAAAAAAAATCCAAATCCAAATTTTAAATCATACTCATATACAAAGTCAAATTTCACTATCTCTGTAGATACTTTAGTGATTTTTTTTTTGGTCCATGCATGTACTTCACAGCTGCAAGTATGTCAGTTTAGTTATTTTAACTCAGCAATATACTGTTTTAACACACTTTTCATCAATTAATGAGCTAATGTAATTCATTTCCAAGTAAAACGTTTATGTTCTTTCCTCCACACTGACAACAATACATGATAGTAATAAGAATTACAATTTACTCTCTCTGACATTTGAATTGTCATCAGAGTGGAATAAGCTCCGCCTCTTCGACACACACCACTTGTTATCCGCCTATGGCCACAATGAGCTTTTCCCCTTACATTCAGGACTTTACTATGGAGAGTCCACCTTTCAAAAAAAAACTTCCAAGTCACCAGGGGGCAGAAACTCATCCATTGACCAACAGACACGAAGACTATCCCTGGGATCACATGTGACTTACAGGTCAAGCGGTAAGAGAGACATTCACTGAGTCGTGCAATGAAACCCTAGGATGACAGAGAGCAATAATAGTATCCTTCTTGTCCTGTCAAATTCCTAATCCCCCAATCTAATAGGATTTTGTTAACAAGACCAATCTAGATTGTGTGGCATCAAACGTCCGTTATAAGCCTTCCTTTTATTGGAGTCAGGGTTTTAATTTGACTTTCCGACATTCTAAAGTCACTTCTTCAACTAGAAAAACATAGAATTTAATGTCCTCTGACTTGAAATACTATGACGAATGTTTAGGACTCTGAAATTCTAGATGACCATCAACATCCAGATTAAGCTGTCAATATCTTACAGCAGAAAAGACAATCTGAATCTATGCATAAAAGTATCCAGCAAAATGATAAACAAATTATCTTTCTGGCAATAAACCTTAATATCAAACTTATCAATTGATATTTCAATCCAACATTTTTCTAGAAGACAACTGTTCTATTGTATGAATTTACAATATCAAAACATGACAAGTGACAATTAACCCTTCTCTCTCTCTCTCTCTCTCAAACACATACACAGACATGCACTGAAAAATCCATCTTGTCACCAAAGAAGCTATTTAACAATTCAGTCAGCTGTATAATTGCTGGGTATTAAAATATATCAGATTATCTTCTTAAATGTTGCCTCATAAATATCACTATTTTAAAGCAACAGATCATCAACATTTCTCCTTTTCTTACATAAATCAACCAATTTGTTATTTCATCATGAAATCAAGACATATTACTCCTATAATACAGGCTCCAAAAAGCAATTAACTGGTGCAGTCAAAATTAAAATGGCATATCTCAGAAAATACAGACATGCCTGAAATGCATGTACATGTACCTATATACATATACATGTATTTGGTAGGTAAAGAAAACATTTGTTCCTCAAAAATAAATAAATAAAAGTTTTTTAAAAGATAGGAAAAATAAATATATAAAAATCAAATTGATATATAGCCTCTGTTTCTATTATATTTCTTTATAGTGAGAGATTTGTCTAGATAATCTGACATTTCCCAAATTTTTATCAGTGATAAAACCTCACATGAAAGAAAAAATTACATGATTGTGTACACTCAATTATTCAATCAAAACAATGGCATTTAAAAACTACCTGCTGCTACAATATGTCAACAATAAACATTTTGTGTGTAGAAAACATCAAAAAGTCTTAAATTATGTAATGATGCTGATAAAAGATCTTCTTTACTTATATACAGTGAAAATTTTACTGATCAGGGGGCATTTAAAATTTTATGAACCAGACAAAATCCAAAGATGAAAAGAAGAACATGTTATGGGTAGAATTATCTCCCTTGGACAAAGGTAGATAACCATCTACAAGTCTGCTAGAGGAAAGGCCTATTCAATAAAAGATAAGTATGGACTAGAACTTTAAAACAAATCAACCTAGAGAAACCAGGACTACATTAAAACACTTCTCAGACAAAATGATTGATTTTTATCAATTCTAAGTCTTTTCATGCAATATTACATTAATGAGACATGAAAAACAGTGTTTTCCTCCCGACGTTATTGGTTTATGATTGGTTACGAGCAAATGTAGCTGAGTTGTGCCTTAATATGCTCACAAATTGAGAACTGGGCAAATAATGTCGTCTGAATGAAGCCTTTTTATGCCTTAGTAATGTGTGGTATAAACCCAGGTGGAGCAATCAAGACATTGCATGATAAGAACACCTCAGAGGACACTGGGCTCTTAGCATTTGGTTACCCTCAAAAAATGATTTGACAATGTTTAATGAAATCAATATGGATAGAAAAGACATATCTCCACTAACACATTTTTACACAATTATTAAAGTATTTCTTAATCTATAATATTTTTAGCTGAAACCAGTAAAAAAAAAAAAAAATAAAAGGACTGAAAAATGCAGGCATAATGATTTTTTTTTTATGTGAGCTTCTTTTAAATACCATTTCATATTTCAATTTCTCAACACATTATGTGTAGTCTGACAAAATCAAGCTAAATGAGCAAACGTTTAAAAATACAAAGAAAGGGGGAGTTTCTGTAAAAATATCTGCAAATAAAATAACAATATTCCACAAAAAGTAACTGGAGAGAGACCTCCACACATGCTCTCTTTGAGGTAAACTGGTTCATTTTATTATTGAGTGTTGACACAAGATACTTGCACCTCAGTGGCTAGCACTTCTCTTTCATTTTCAAACTATGACACATCTAACAGTGTATTTTTAATTGCGAGAAATTAAAATCAAATTTTTTTAATTGATAATGAAGAATGACAACTAATTTTGACCAAGTCAAGATTAATTTGAATTTTCTCTTATCAATCGCAATACAGCATAATCCTGCTCTCAAATTTTCTTTTCTTTTTGGCTTTTAAGATTTTTGAACAATTCAACAATAATAATGATATGGAGTTGTTCAATGAAAAAAATCAGTCATCTGATCTGAGAAATTGATGTGTCATTCATATTTTCTTAAAGTGTAATTTATATTGCATGGTCATTTTATAGTTTAATTTCTTCAAAATCTAGCTATATAAACTATCCATATCTCTTTGCAGTTACTTTGACAATTTGGTCTTTCAATATATTAATGTAACATACTAACAATTAATACAGGATGTTAGCCTTGAATCCAGGTATCTCCCAATGGAGCCATACTTATAAATGTCCAGTAGCCATCATTTAGAATCCCCTTCAGTAATGGCCATCAAGAAAACAGAGAAATCCCTATTTATTGTAATGTAGAAATGAAGCCAGCTGATTATAATGTCAATATGCAATCAGGGTAATGTGTTTGACACAGCAACTAAGGACATTTAGTCTCTGGTAGACAAATAGACACAGCAACATTAGTCACACTAGACAGGGCTGCTAAGTAGTTCACTCACTGCCTAATCTTCTGTGTTGTAATTGATTTAAAGTACCAATCTATTCTGTTACAGTATTCTTTGTTCATCGCAAGACTTTATTTTATTTTTATTTTTCTGAAGTCTAACTTTTATCAACCCAGTGTAAAACATAATATACTATTTGCTCAGAATTTCTACAATACATACAACTACTATATCTAAATAAAAGGAGTGTTGAAACAGATGTTGCTGTATCCAATAAAACAATACATGTATCTTAATAAAGCAGCAAAAAAAAAAAAATAATAGCATACATGTATGAGCGGAAAATATGAATCACATGTATTGGATCTCCCATAGTTTGTGGTTAGATATGACTTTTTTATCCAAAGGGTTGCATATTTTTATCCCCCAGCTTTGGCGACACAAACCATGGGAGATTCTTTTTATCACACATTTTACACATAGCTGTTCAATGTTTTACACTGTTTTATATATGTACGTCCAAAAATATTTGACTTGATCAAATTCGTGCATAAACCAATGCGACGTCACAACCGTGAATATGAAAACGATATCCTATGAGCTATATATATATATACCTACTGTATAAAGGAGTAAACGTGATTAAAATGTTTTTCCATCTTCAAGTACTAGATTAGAAAAGGTTTTACTTGTGTATAGAATTTGTTATCTTCACTGAAACAATTCAAACAAGTATAAATTACTGACTTTTTATTACTCTGCAAGTCTTAAAAATGTTTTTTTTTCATAAAATCTATGATTAATAAAATATATTTCCACCTACCAAATTCTTAAAACTTTAACTCCATCCATTTATGAAAACAAATTTCTGTTCATCGTTAAAAATCCAAATTTCCTAATCTTTAATTTTGTTAACTAAATGCATGATTGTTGAAGCTAAAAGAAATCCCACCTGACTCTGAGTAGAAATTTAGTTCCTTGAACACTTCCTCTTGTCAAGCAGTGATGGCCCATTGTAAAATTGTTCTGAAAACCTCTAAGGGACATAACAACCTCTGGCAAAGCTGGCTTTTATTTGTTACAAATATGTGAAGCTGATCTTGGTCAGATAGCACTGTTTTCATCATGGTGACACTATGTCAACAATTTAGGAGTTTTGTTTTCACATAAATATATATATAAAAAATTATCTTGTTATCAAGGAAATTCAACATTCTAGAACAATGCTGTTGACCAATTAATTATTAGTTCAACAAGTTTCAAATGAAAGAGTACAAACATTTCAATTTCAAGCCAGAAATGACACTAGTTTGGGGTTTCTTTTATGGACTTGAAAGTTGATTTGAGGCAGCTTAATATGTTGCAAATAAAAATGAAGAACATTCCTTTATCTTTCAACCCAAAAACTCAATTATACACGAATGCACAGTATGTGACACTGTGTTTGAATTGGCACCAAATGTTGTGTAACATACATGTTACATTGAGGAAATTGATAATTAATGTGAAATAAGGGACAATTTTATGTTCCTCTCACTTAAACCACTGTACAAAACACCCAGATTCATCAATTATCCTAACAAGGGTATACAACAAGTTTCAAATTAATGAACATAGCAATATCATTAGACAGTGAACCAGTGAAACTGTCCTGTAGATCAATTTATCTATGTATTCCGACAGTGACCAGTGTCCAGCTGATAAAAATCACTACCCTGGGGCTTGTCAAGTTTGACCATAGCAGGACTGGAGAGAATATACCTGTACACACTGTACCATCAGGGCCACTAATGACTTTGTAGACTTAAGAAATAAAAACCTATAATATAGAGTCATT